TCAAATGATCGAACCTGATTTGATATTAAGTTAGCGCAATGACTGTGRCAGTCCAGCTGTAAAATGTCAGTGGGTTTTCCGGATCTTCCCTACTTCCAGATTCCCTAAATAACCTGTATTACTAAGCGCGAGACTTCACCTAGTTTCCCTCTTCATTTTCAGTTTTGAAACGAATATATCAGAGTTTATTATTCGCAAAAATATGATATCACATTTTTTCTTAAATTTCCGGAGCAACCTTTCATTGAATAAAATATCGATAAAATTCGAAAGTGATTTTCACAAGCGCAGAATTTCCTCCGAAGCGGGGGTGGGCACGGTACCTTTTGGTACTTTGCAAGCGAAAATCGCAGTGAAGGGCACAAAAATTAGAGAATGCATGCTGGAATTTACAGCGACTTGTCGCGCGTCGATCGCCGCAATAATTGCAGACCGTTTACACGAGCGACTTGAGGTTACGACCAAAAAACCGCGATTGTCGCGGCAAATATCGCCCGTTTAAAAGCGGGCCTGTAGGCAAGAGAAGGGGCCGAAATGGCGAAGTAAGGAAAATGGTGTGAAAATGACTCGGTGGAAGCCAATGTTACAAAAGGAGGCCATGTTATGCCAGTTGCGCACAAGAAAAGGTTTAATGCAGATGTAAAATTTCTTTTGCATCTACAGGAAAACAATTAACAAAACGTGCTTAGGTGTTGCTCAGCGTTGGTTTTATCTACTTCAAAATGTTCAGATAGGTTTGTCTAAAAGATATAGAATTAGAAATGGTTATCTTCTATTGTATCAGAGAGACAAGTATTGCAAGAATACAAAGAGAAAAAAACTTTCACAAAATTTTGTGGTTATAAGTAATCGTATTTTTAAGAATGTTTTACATTTTAAATCATTTGATATCTTGTGTCTCATTAGATATTCATATAGACACCTATTTCGAAAATCGTTGTCGCACCAAGAGCCTCAAGTAACAAGCCAAGGCTCCAGAGAACGTCAGTACTTTTAATCATAATTGATTTATTCATGGTTCATGCAAGTGGCTATAGCTCTTCCGCACTAATTATCATCTGAAGCAGTCTTGCTTGGAGCAATTTGTGAAGTCAAATGAAAATGCACCATGAATGAACTAATTACAGCAAAAAGTACCGGCGTTCTCTGCGGTCTTGGCCTGTTGCTTGAGGCTTTTGCGGGTGCGATAACGATTTCTGAAATAGGTGTATATTTTCTTCTCGAATAGTGTCGAGCATTTGATGCTTCCTCAAGTGAATTGTATTTTGGAACTCGACTTTTACTACTTTACTTAGGTAGCATGGGTGGCGTTGGCGGCTAGCGCGTCGTCTTTCACCGCTGTGAGTCCTATGGGTCGGGTTGCTGGTTCAAGCCCTGCGGTCGTCACATGAATTGAGTTTGTTTGATGTGTTGTTCTCTCCTATGCTGAGGGTTTTCTCCGGGTTCTCCGGTTTCCTCCCTCCGTAAAAATCAACGTGAGCTGAACGTTGTGTGCATAGAAAATTCAGTGTAGTGGTAGTGCGTGTGAGTGAAAAGTGTCCCCAATTAGTGCGAAAGCGCTAGAACGACTAGACACTTAAATAAAAGTGAATTATTTATTTTATTCATTTTTACTTACGCTTCTTCCCCATGTATATCATACTTAAGAAATTGAAAAATCCAACCCAAGGCAAAAGAAGAAGTATTTTCAAATGGTACATGTGAATTTGTGCTGCCCCATGATGCTTTATTACACGATGATGATTTTTAATAGTAATCATTGTATTCTTATACAGTAATAACCCGCATATAAGAACCTGAAATTTTCGAATTAGCCTAAATAAGTTCTTATACAAATGGTACTTAAAGCAAATTTAGCCTAAATAGGTTCTTAAAATAGGTTCTTATATTTTTATATCAATTC